TTGACATTTGGAGTGATTCTATAGCAAAGCCAATGAATTTTAAGTTTCAGGGCCACCTTTCTAAGTCCCTGATAGCAGTGTTTTCACATGGTCGTGTTTTTAAAATAACATCTGTAGGCAATATTTTAACCATAGTTGTAATAAGCTCTCCATTTCAGCTACCCCTCCAAACCTCCTCTTGTGTTGGGTGGTGCTGGAGGGACCATGAGCATTTCTGGGGAACAGGATAAAGGGATGTTGAGCTTGGAATACATTTAGTTTAGGTTTTAGTGGAGTCATATATCTATGTGGTTGTCAGTATAGGAATGGTGTATTAGTCAGGGTTCAACCAAACAAACAGAGCCAGTAGGAAATTTTAAAATAGATATACTGATGATCTTATATAAATAGATACATACATACATAGATATACACATATAGAGACATAATGCCAGAAACTGTCTTATGCAGTTGTGTCAGACTGACTGAGCACGTTCAAAAGCCACAAGATAGGCCATCAGAAAGGGAAGACCAAGAGCAAGCTGGAACTTCAAGAGCCAAAGCTGTGGTCCACAGCAGGGGTCTCTCTCATTCTTCTCCCAATGCCCTCCCAGGAAAAATCTAAGCCCCATTTTAAGGCCATTCAACTGATTAAGCCAACCCTCTCAAGATAATCGCCTAACTTAAAGCCACCTGATTAGAAACTCTAATTACTTCTGCAGCATCCTTCAGATTACCTAGATTTATGTCGATTAACTGAGTTACCATATTTCAATGTAGTGAAATCGACACACCAAAAAAACCACCTCACCAATGGCTTCTAGGAATATGCCTATCATCCCCTGTGCAAAATCATCCGACTTTGACTGGAAAGTTGAGGACCAGATTTTATAGAGTAGTATTAGTGTATCTTAATGTGCCCAGGACTAAAGCAAGTGAAAATTAGAGGAGACACAAGGTTTGAAATATGTGAAACATGAAGCTAGTCTATAGAGATTCTTTCGATCAACAGAGTGTAAAAATATAAGTAGAAATTTCAATTACGATCAATGACTGGTCAAAATGGAAGGTCTAAATAATACAAATAGGTCTAAGTAATAAAATAAAAGGTTTATTATTCTCTATAATAAACAATTATTTAAAATTTCATATTTTCTTTTTTCCATTTTGATGGGAATATGATATTGGAGCTTCATCAAATATGTTGTTTTAACTATAACTCAGAAAAATGTTTTTGAAACATTTCAATTAAAACAACGGAGAAATTTTTCTATAAATACTGGCAGACTGCAGATTTGGATGTATAGAAAGTATATGCTATTTTGCCATTTTTAAGTTTATTCAAAAATTAGGAGAAAATGCAAATAAGATTAATAGGAATATGAAATAAAGCCAAAAATTAGCCATGAAACCAATATAAATTATTCTGAGATCAAGAAGGAGATAGTAACAAGAGAATTTTATGATCACTCCCAAAATAATGGCTTTAAATAAGAAAGAGATGCTTTAAAATGAAGTAGCAAAGAGACTCTTAGATTATATGATAATTTAGCTAATAGGTAAATCATAAGATAAATTAGCTAACAAAGAAAGAAAACGAAGGAAAAAGACTTAAATTTTCAGCTGATTTGACACGAAATAACAACCTTACCAAAAACTCATAATATGCTATCATAAAAATAATATCAATAAACTGATTAAAGTTTTTATCAAATCTAAACTTAAACACACACAAACTCAAAATTAGTGTCCTGAAATATCAGTCCCTGTATATTAAAGAAATATGATAGTTTTCTCATATTTGACAACAATCCTAAAAATTTACACATTTCAATAATAGATTGTAAAGTTGTAAAAACTTTTCTAAACTATCAAATATTTTAAAAATTTCTGACCAACTGTGCTATATTAAAGACTAAATTGTCTTTCTATATTCTCTACAAAAAATATGACAAAACCATTGCCGTATAAAAGAGATGTGATGGTTAGTTTTATGTGTCAACTTGGCTGGCCCACAGTGCCCAGCTATTTGTCCAAACGTTATTCTAGATGTTTCTGTGACATTGTTTTGGATGAAATTAACATTTTAATTTACGGATTTTGAGTAAAACAGACTACCCTCCATAATGTGTGTGGAGTTCATCCAATCAGCTGAAGGCCTGAATAGAACAAAGACTGACCTCCTCCAAGCAAAAAGGACTTCAGCCAGTACACTGCCTTTAGACTTGAAATGCAACCCTTCCCTGGGTCTCCAGCCTGCCAGCCCACCCTGTAGATTTTGGACTCTCCAAGCCTCCACAATTGTGTCAGCCAATTCCTTAAAATTTCTCTCTCTCTCTCTCTCTCTCTCTCTCTCTCTCTCTCCCCCTCTCTCTCCCTCACACACACTGTTATGCAAACTCATACAGACATGCAAGTACTATATACACAGACATTCAATTGTTTCTGTCTCTCTGGAAAATCCTGATGAAAACAAGGGACAATCAAAAAGAAATGTTATAGATGCTATGAAATGAATGAAGCCCTAAACCCCCCCCAAATTGTGCAGGTTGAAGCCCTAAACCACATTAATTCAGAATTGTGACTGTACATTGAGACATGGCCTTTAAAAAGGTGGTCGAATTAACATAAGGCAGTTAAGATGGGCCCTAACCCAATATGACTGTGTCCATTCTTATAAAAGATTAGAACACAGTGAGAGGGACACCAGGGGCCTATACCCAGAGAGAAAGTCGTGTGAGGAGGCAGCAAGAAGGTAACCGTTTGCAAGCCAGGAAGAGAGGCCTCAGAGGACCCCAACTCTGCTGCACCTTGACCTTAGACTTCCATCCTCCAGAACTGTGAGAAAATAAATTTGTTTAATCCAGTTTGTAGTATTTTGTTATGGTAGCCCCCAAAGCATCATTTTCAGGCTCCCAAGACCTGGCTCTCCCCTGCTGACGGCCATGACTACGTCTCTCACTGCTCCATTAATACCTTAAGCACATTCTACCGGTGTTTCTGCCATATGGTTATAAAACAATCTGTGTGTTCAGATGGCCACTAGACTGTACACTCTTTGTGGACATGTTCTGCCTATTTATATGTGAATTTACAAGGGCTAGCTCAATGCCTAGAATGTATATTAGATGCTCCAGAACTATTCAGTAAAATAACGGGTAAAGGTACATATGGATGCATGAGTGAATACTGAAAATGGATGCCTTAAGGGTTTCCCAGTCTCTACAGATATCCCTCTATTTTTAGAGTTAAGGCTCAGACCATTCACATTGTTTGAGTTCAACCAGGAAAAAGTCTCTTTAAGAATCTTTCACCTACTAAATCTTAATGAAAACGTAAAGCAAATACAAAGCCAGTGAGGAGAGCAACAGAATTTAAACATTTAATTTCCAGAGAGAACTTCTGGTTAGAAATAAAATCAGCCTGTTGCAGTAGCTCACATCTGTAATCCCAGCACTTAGGGAGGTTGAAGCGACAGAATTGCTTCAAACTGGGCAACATAATGAGACCATTTCTACAAAAAATTTTTTAAAATAGCTGGGTGTGGTGGTATGTATCTGTAGTCCCAGCTGCTCAGGAGGCAGAGGCAGGAGGATTTCCTGAGACCAGGAGGCCGAGGTTGTGAAAAACTGTGTTCATGTCCCTGCATTCTAACTTGGGCAACAGGTGAGACTCCAGTTCAAAAAATAAAATTAAAATAATAAAATAAAAATCTACAACAACCAAGAGCAGAAACAAACGAATAAAACAACACGAAAACTGTTCTCTGTTCTTCTCTACCTAATATCTCCCCCTGCCCCCCCCACACACAAAGTCCTTGATAGTTTAGTACTGTTCTTGGATAGGCATGCAGCTACACATGACTTATCTCTCCGATTATGTGTTTGGGTAGATAACGTAAGTGTGTGAAATACAATACTCAGCAACCCTGTCAAACACAGACTGTTTCCTGAAATGATAAGACATTTGAGTATAAGATATGTGGTGTTTGCAGTCCAAAATATTTTTCTATGAAAATGCAGCTCTGAATTATAAGAAAAAAGACTTGTGAAAAGAACCTGTAAACTCTGCTCACTGATATATTTCTCCTCATTCCATCTTTCTAATTCCTCTTGGATCTTGAAGGAACATATACATATATATGTGGAAAGGGGTTTTCTTAGTCTAATCCACCACACACTGCTTTGACACTGCAGCCATTGTTTCCACTGGAATTTCTTCAAATGGAGCATACTTTGTACCAAGAAAATGAAAAGCGATTTGTTTTCTATTACTTGAGGTATAGAAGGGAGTGGTTTATACTGTGCAATCTTTCCCACAATTGCCCACCTCTCATTTCCTGTTTATTTCTAAGTTGAGAAACATTGGAAAATCCATCCTAGCCCCAACCTATTATGCTGCTTCTTAATCTTTTCAATGATAGACCTTCTTGACAATCTAGCAATTTCTTTCCCAGAAAAAAAAGCACAAACACAAATAAATACAACATTCTGCATGCAATTTTGGGGGCCTTCATAGACTCCTTAATGCCATCCAAAGAGTCCTGTCCTGTGAACTCGGATAAAGAACTCTACCCCGGGGCAATCCCATAAGAAAGTAAAAGATGAGCTGGCAATGTGGTACCTCTATGAGGCTTGAAACCTACAAAATATTTCACAATGTACTGAAAACTTTATCTGAGGCAAAATTTTTAAGCGAAAAGGAATTTTAAGGGGGAGAAAAAGCTATTTAGATTTCCAATTTCCAATAGTGGTGCTCTTGATTGTTGAATTCGGAGTTTACATAGGGGAAAATCTAAGGAAATTGTGCAAGTCATTATTGTAAAAAACTCATTTTACATGCAGTGTTTTAGTAACATCCCTTTTCCAAATAGTTGAAGGTTTTAATTTAAAGAATTTCTCTACTGATAATGCCATTTATTTTAAGAGCAGTTAAAGTGTAAGTGGAATGGATACATAAATTTCCCTTAAAATCAAATTTATACTTGCTAAGATCACCAAAATACAAATCTATTAAAAATAGACCTTGTCTTTAATGTTTATTTCACATTATCTAAGTACATCCAGTTATGCAAATTTACATTTTATTTTCACATCCTTGTGTTCCTGATATACACATAACAGGACAAAAACACATTTGCAATATTCAACCTGTATAACCCTGCTTGTAGAAAACAAGATTCTCGGCTGCCTTATTCTTCTGAACATGTACAAATAAAATTCTAAAAATTGGCATGGAAATAAAATCTGGTGAGAGAGAAAACTGACTAAATTTTTATGGACTCGATTTTTCAAATGTCTTCTAATTGTTGAATTACATATCCTTGGGAGCTCTTTAAAACATTTCAAGAGGCTTCCTTGTTTCTAAAGTACATAATCTGTATGCTGTTGAAATTAGCTACCATCAATCATGCCTAAATGTTGGCATTAAAATATCCTATGATATTTTTAAAAGTGATAATCAACATTATTCTCCTTCTTTTGTGAAAATATCTTGCCAGGCTAGACAACAAGCAATTATTTCTTCAATTAGGCAAAGAGAAAGGACAGACCAGTACAACACAGTACTAATTTTAAAGGAAACAATGACATTGAAATAAAGAATTTAAACTTTTAGTTACAATTTTATAAAATTCAAATATCTCAGAATCACATTGTGATACTAGATGACCGCGTGTTCATTCTGTTCAATGTTGCCCATGAGATCGTTCATGTCACTAGCTCCTGGACTTGATCGACTGTTAAAATAGAGAGTGTTTTCAAAGGCGCCCTCTTGAGGTAGCTGCACACGTCTTTTCTTGTAAAAGAAATAGGCGGCAAGGCCAGTCCCAGCTAAAATCACGAGGACCACAATGACGACTACTCCTGCTGTGCTAGAAGGTGGTTTGGAAGGGTCCATCTTCCTTGAATCAGCTATAAATAAATAAAATCATTAGGGAAAATGTAGGGGGAGACAGAAGGTTGAACGCTATGAAGAAAATACAAATTTCCTTGTTGAAAAACTAATATGAATATTCTTTCACGTCTTTTAAAAGTTGGAAATCACTTTGGTTAAATTGATGCATAGATTTCATGTCTATTACTATGACTGTGATTATCATGAACCCCTTGGCCAATGATGATTTGCCCAAGCAAGAAGACAGATGGCATTTATAGCGTGACTTATCTGATCCATCTGAATATTCAGGACACCTTCTATAATGATGATCTCTAATAAACAGTTACGGGAAATGTGAAAAAAAATTCTTTCAAGTGATATTTGTCAAACAGAAATGCAAAGCATGAAAACCAGAGTTCATATGACCTGCAAGATTATTCAGAATGTTAAGATGATTATTCAGCTGCAAGAATATATCATCTGTCTATGTAGCATTGAAATAGTTAATCAACATTTTTAAAATACATTTGCCTTATTTCAAAATAATTTAAGGCTACTTACAAATACATTACAAAAAAGATAAATAAAATAGTAATGATGATGATAATTATGATGATAATGACAAGCAAATGAAAAATTAGAAAAAAATGGAAAATGAGAATATTGGGGATTTGAACTCATAATTAGCAAGCAAATAGCATCCATGGGGTCAATAAGAACATTACAGGTTAACAGAACTACTGGTTAATAAGAACATTACAGGCAAACTGTAAATCTCACTTTGAGATTTTCTTAGCAGTCCACAAAATGAGTGAAGTAGAATCAGTTACCTAAATCAAGTTGTTATAAAAATATAAACAAAAAACTTCATCAAGAACGAAAAAACCTAGAGATTCTTGAGAAAAAATTCTTCCACAGATTCTCTTTTGCTCTTCATAACAGAGCAAGAACTATCTTCAATAACTTCTTCTGGTAGAAACACCAACCTGACTACAAAGCCTGTTTTTGTAAAGAATCATTCAAGGTAGGTTGATATCGACAAAGGCTAGTTTAGCTCAAGCAATTCTACTGAGAGTGCAAGGTAGTCAGAGAGCATTATTATGGTTCTTAAAACAAATTGTCTGAATGTATTACTAATACAGAACTTGAAATTCTTTTTTTTTTTTTAAAGCAGGATTTATTGAGAGGACAGAAAAGCTCCCACAGTGGGAAGAGACCCGAAGAGGTTGCCCTGAAATTCTTACCTTTTGAATTCTTACCTTTATTATCTTGTGTTGTAGCCAACGTATGAGTAGGCTCGGCATCAACAACTGTAAAAAGAGAAAATAATTTAATATTTAACAGAGTACCATATGTTCTCACCTATCAGCAGACCTTGAACAATTATCATAATACTATAAAAAGGGATTGGCAGTAGTAGGAAACTGCCAGGGGAGGGAGGGGCACACCTCATCAACAAGGGTAACTGCATAATGAACATTTGTATGCCTAACCCTGAATCATACCCCACATCTTTAAAATAAGAATAAATAAAATTTAAAAAAAACTCAAGCTGGGCATGGTGGCTTAAGCCTGTAATCCCAGCACTTTGGGAGGCCAAGGCAAGAGGATTGCCTGAGTCCAGGAGTTCAAGACCAGCCTGGGCAACTTGGCAAGACCTCGTCTCTACAGTCATTAAAAAAATTATCCGGATGTAGTACTGTGTGCCTGTAGTTCCAGTTACTTGGAAGGCTGGGGCGGAAGGATCACCTGAGCCCAGCAGGTCGAGGCTGTGGTGGCTCTGAGAGTGACACTGCACTCCAGCCTGGACAACAGAATGAGACTTTGACTAAAAAAAAAAGCCCAAATAATTGCATATAGATAGTGAATATGATTTGGGTCAATAATACATAGAATCCTCCATATTTCACTTATGTGACATGATATAATATGATATGATAGAGACAGAGATAAAGGTACAAATACAGAAAGAAAAAAAATCTGTATCTTTATCATGTCTCTATCTACTTCCCTATCATCTGTCTATCTATCATCTCACTATCTACACCATAGCATGATCCTACAGCTGTAAGGAGAGTTTGAATATATGAAAAGATTTAACAATGCAATTCTCCAAGTTGCATTTGAGCCACTGATACCCTTAAAATCTACCCAATCTACCCAGACGTAAAGCATTCTAGGCTAGGGAACTTGAAATTGGCCCCACTGAAGCCTAAGGTGTTATAAGGTCTTTGAATAAAAAGTAAAATAGTACTCCAACATTGCACTGGAGGGTGTGGTACCTTAGAACAGAATTTAAAAAGACTAAAGATCTGCAGAATTCTAAAATGATAAAACTTCCTGGGGAGACAGGGTTAGTTTACCTAACTCATTCATTTAAATCTATGATCTAATCAATAATTTTATTTATTGGGAAGGATATTATGTGAGGTGGAATGGCAACAAAATATTATTAAAGTCCAGAGAGAGGTACACTGTGAGCATTTGACACTATTAATTCCCCAGTCCCTCTCCTTTCATGGTCTTGCACTCAGTCTCAGAAGGAGACTGAATTGGTCTGATATGACTCATTCCACAACCGAATCTGATTCCTCTCCAGAACCCTGGTCTCTTCTGGTTTGGGCTGATAATTGCTCTACCCACTTCTCATGCAGTAAGGCTTTGCCTACAACTTGGGCTTTCTCAACTGCTTGCAGTTTGGTGAATCCATATGCAGGGATATCTCACTACAGATGTATTGATAAACCCACATCGTTATGTCATCTAAGCAGACAGTGTATCTCACTCACTCAGAGCGGCAGGCAGCAGTGGATCACCATGGCAAAATGGATTTTTCATGGATAAGGGGAGAGAGCTCACAATGGCCCGGAAATCACATTATAATCCCACACCTGATCCCATTTGAAAGAAATAATGGCCATTGAATATATGCACCACATGACAAACTTCTTACTTACTTTTTGGTCTTTTACAAATATATCCTTTGTAGGAAGAACAATGAATGTTACTCCAAAACCCAGAAGATGCATGTAAAGCTACACAATCATTCCGTTCACCAGAGGGATCCCCTGTGTTCCAGTTGACAAAGGAGACTGGATTGTTATTTATCCAGAGCCATTTTCCTGGTTATCAAGTAAGACAAAGAAAAGCAGAAGCTAAAATGAACCGCTCTTATAATAAGTTCAGTTTATTTGTACAAAATTTCTAAGTACGTTATTTTTTACTAGAATCAATAGTCATTTATAATCAGACTTTGAATAGGTAAGACTATAATGACTAATTATTACAGGGAAGAAAACCAAGAAGAATATGTTGGTAATATAACTTTAGTTGAAAATTTATTTCTAATTAGTATAAATGTTTATGCTTATCTTTCCCTAGTTGTTTTTTTCTTGGCCAAAAAAAAGAAGAAGAAAAGAAAAGAAAAAGAAAAGAAAGAAAGGAAAAGAAAATGCTTTTTAAAACTTCTTGAACTAATTTAGTTCAGAAGATATGTTTTAATCAACAACTTTGATGACAGCACAATATGAAATTCACTTAAACTTTCAGTTCTTATCTCAAGTAAAAATATGAGTTTGAATTTTCAAAGTCTTCATGAATTAATCATTATTTAAGATACACTTTGTGGAAACGAAACCTTGTTTTACATACAATGTTTTGAAGTATTTGTGATTAAACAATTATTCTGCAAAAGTTACCTTCAACATTTTTGAACAATCCTATCCAAAAATTGGTTTTACTTTTAAGTGGCTCAACACGATATGACAGAAAACTGGATTCAGCAGTACTTTCAATGGAAACCAGAGAGGAACCTGCAAAGTATAAAAAGCAAACATGATGGGTGTACATATAAGTAGCTGACAATATTTTCATAACAGTGTTGATCTTAAGAGCTATAGAAATCACCCCAACATCTCCATTTAACAGGAAGAACTTCAAAGGATGGACGCTCATCTTCTCAGAATTTTAGTTTCTATTTTGAAAATGTAATTTTCAGCATCATCAGCACCATTTGAGTACAAGCATAGAAGTTCCTGCAGAATATTCAAAGATGTGTAGGATGTACAATATATCCTGAGAAAGGTATGGTTCAATGATCAATCATAGGAGTACAAAGGAATATCATAGGAGAGAAATTAAGTGCAATATGCAATAGACATGTCAAATATTCATTGTAGCCGTTAAAAAGGAGGATAGATGAAAGAGAATTTAAGTAAGTGAAGCATGAAATTTCAAGTAAAAGAGATAGAAAATAGTTTCAGGAGGAAGAAGCAGCAATAACAGGAAAGACAATGAGAGAGAGAAGTATAGAACTTCTTCAGGAACAAAGATGGCTTGGTTTGGCTGGAGTGTAGCACCAATTTGGTCAATGGGCAAAAAAAAGCTGTGGGTTAGGTCTCATTGCAGAAGGCAGGAAATCGGTATTTAGGGGCAATGTGATGAAAAAGAACAATTCGTTTTCTTTTTTTTCTTTTCAGGCAGCAGAATGATGCAATGTACTATAGGAGTATTAATTCAGCTGTTATGTATAAGACCATTCAAAGTAAGGAAAAGAAACTGGAAGGGCAGTTAGGTGACTATTGAAGTGGCAAGTTACATAAGATTAAGTGCCAATATTAGATATCATAGTAAAAATCTATAGTTTTTCAATAATAACTATTAAGTATTTCATGCCAAACATTTTTCTTTAAACTTTATAAACACCATCACATTACATTTTTACAATAGCCTCATTAAGTAGGTACTATTGTGACCTCATTTTACAGATAAGAAAACTAAAACACAAAGGATAGGTAATTTTCCAAGAGCTGAACACTAGTAGAGAGCAGAGTCAAGGTATGACCCAGGCTTTATGAATCCTGTGGGAATGCATTTAACTATATGCCTGAATCCCATATTACTGAATTCTGAATTATCCCCTTAATGATTGTTTCACAATATGATTACTTAATCCCTCACTGAATATATTTCATAGACATTAGTCATTTCAAAATATCTGTGACATATTTTGAGAATGAGAATCATTCATTTTATTTACTGGAGAAGATAATCACCTAAAATTGAAAACAAAGTTTCTACATATTCATTACAAAAGTTCCTTTAAAAAATTATTTAGCAACATAAACAAAAACTTTTTTTAATTATAAAAGTCCAAGCAAATATCAGGTGGCATCATCAGAAATGGCAGAATAAGTACAAAGAATAAATTATTTCCTCTATGAAAGCAATGAGAATGCTAGAAAATTTCTCAAAATGAACTTTTTCAAGATACTGAAAATTAACCAAAGACCTGCAACAATCCAAGAAGCATGTATACAAGATAAATGATTGAATCTTGGTAATAACAGCGAGCTTTATAGTGTTTTAAAGTGCATTAATCCCTTTGCCTTCTTTCTAGTTCTCTTTCTGCCTTAAAAACCAACAGCCCAACAGCCCCACAACCACAATGAAAAACAGCAGTCTAGAAAACAACAGAGAGGTTCGAATGGGGTTGGAGCTATTTCCAAGTTCCATTCTCAAAGAATTTCCTGATAGTTTCTTAGAAAACCCCACTTACAAAGTTTGTCTTTATTTGCCTTGATTCAGAATTCACTCAGTGCAAACAGACTTTCACCTGTAAGTGTTTGTCAAAAACTATCAGTGGTAATTGTCTAACATGATAACCACCTATGGCATAATAATAGTTGGGGTAAACAGTAAGCCAACCAAAAACTTAAGGAGATATTCCAAAGGGACTTTAAAGAGCACTGACATATTCCTGGGAATCTAGAAGGCCACAAGCGTGCATTGGGTATGCAGATGTCCATTGCTGTGGGCATGGATAAGAAAGAAAATCCTAAGCTCTCACCTTTGGCTGACCTTGAGGCTCTGCACAAGCAGGAAGTGAAGGCTAAGGCAGAGTTTTAAACTGCCTGGACAAGCATTGAAGGCACATATAGATCGACACACAGACAGAACCCCTCAGCAAAACCTGGAGACTCATTAGTACTAGGCACTTAAAAAAAATCTGGGCCTACAACATTTAGAAGATCTTTGCCTATATACATAACAATCATATTGCCAAAAGATAAAGAGAGAGTCTTAAAATCAGCAAGAGAGAAGTGACTCATCATATGCTGGCACCTTAACGTTATTTCACATCAGAAACCATGGGGCCAGAAAGCAGTGAGACGACATATTCAAAAAGATGAAAGAAAATGGCTATCGAGCAGGAATTTTCTATTTAACAAAGCTATCCTACAAAAATGAAAAGAAAATTAATTTTTTTTAAATTGTCACTACAAGAAATACTAAAGAGAATACTTATGGCTGAAATGAAAGGACATTTAAAAGTAACTCATAAAGAAATAAAGAGTATCAGTAAAGATAACTACATAGATAAATATCAAAAGCAATATAATGTCTTTTTTGGTTATAACTCTTTTTTATCTCTTCTGATTTAAAGGCAACTGCATAGAACAATAATTATAAATCCAAGTGACTTTGAAATGCCCCCTAAAAAATTAACTTTATTTGGCATTTTTTACTTCAAGGGGAAAATCATTTATCTTTGTCATGCTTATTTGAGTCTTATTTTGTTTTTCTTCACAAATACAAAAACCAGATATAAACATTTTCATATTAATGGCAAAACAAAATGGTTCCTAGACACTTGTAAAACCTGAGCTTCACAGTGATAAAAGGTGAGTACAACATTCTGGATAGCTGAGAATGAGAAGCCTAACAACTTAGAGTATTAGCACAGAAAGATAATGTTATCAGTGTCATAGGACACCAGAATAGATGATTATGGGATTTTCTTTCACGAAATGTGGCACTTACCCATTCGAAGACATTCCAGAGAAGCTTGGCCCCAGTTCCTTGTATATGAGGACTCAATATAGTAACAGTGACCGTGGAAAGGAATCCACGCAGTGTGCTCTGACTCTGGGCATCTGCCGGGCAGTTGCGGAGGTTCAGTGGCAGGGATTTCTGTTAATAAAAAGACATTTCAATAAAGCAAAACCTGAAGTTTCTTTAGTATGTAGAATAATACTTTAGCAGCTAAGGCAAATGTTATCACCTAATATTTTTTTTAAAATGTCAGCTTCCAATGGTTATCATTTGAATCCTATTTTTATTATTGAGTTTTGTTTTACTTTACCATTTTTTTCATTCCAACTATATTTCAATAGACTGCATTATGGTATAGTGGAAATTAATTACACTCATAGTTAAGGCTATAGTTCTATAGATACCTACAAAAATAAGTTTTAAAAGTCACCTCAAAATAATTTGTAAAGAGATTTCCCTTTCAAGCTACTCTTTTCTGGGATCCCAATCCTTATAACCCCTTCTTAGTTTTTTTTTTTTTTTTTTTTTTTTTGGAGTTGGAGTCTCACTCTGTTGTCCAGGCTGGAGTGTAGTGACACGCTCATGGCCACCACAGACATGACCTGCTGGGCTCAGGTGATCCTTCCACCTCAGCCTTCCAAGTAGCCAGAACTATAGGTACGTGCCACCACATCTGGCTAATTTTTAAATGTATTGTAGAGATGAAATCTTGCCAAGTTGCCCAGGCTGGTCTCAAACCCATGGGCTTAGGCAATCCTCTCACCTCAGCCTCCCAAAGTGCTGGGATTATAGGTGTAACCCCAGTCCCTTCTTAGTATTAATGGCACCTGTGATATAACTGAATGCTATAATTACAATTCTAGAACTATGTCAGTAATATCACTGATGCTGATGAATCTATACACATTCTGATAAAATCCCTTTGATGAAGATGTGTTGGAGACATCAAAAGTAAGCGTAATGTCCTGAAGAATCTGTCATCATCGATTTAGAGGACAAAATCAGTAATAAGTATTCAGAGGTTTATTAAGAAGCAAATAAACTCTGGAAGTGAAGAAATTTTCTATCTCCTTTATTTGATGTATGTATACTGGTTTATAGCCACGACAGTCTTTTGTTAGGTAAAGAAATATGTTTATCTTTTTCTTAGCTAACCAAGACACACTACTGTTTAACGATATCAACAGTGGTGTGTAGTAGCTTATCCAGAAAATTTCAGATTCCCTGGTTGTTTTTATATATTTGATTACCATGTGATCTTTTGCAGAGAAAATAAAAACTTTCATTGCAAGGTGCTGTCTTCCAGAAGCCGTCAAGATCCAGATAAACACATGCTGATTTCAGTTTGGGTTCATCAGCAGCCCAGTTAGTGAACCTCACCCTCCATTTATCTGTCCAAGTGTATTCATTATTAGTCTGCAAGAAAAAAGCAAGCATTAACATGGGACCTCGCCTCCTTTAGAAGATACCAGAAGAACCAAATGAAGAATAACGAGTATATTTAAGACTGCAATTTGACGCAGAATCTTGAACATTTGAGAAGAAAAAAGAATGCTATAAATCATTTCTATGGACTCAACTTCACTAAATGCAGCCTTTTTTGAAAATGATTATTTCTTGGACATTCCCAGGAGCACATGCTGGGAAGCTGGACACTGACTAAAGTACGCTATGTCTTATTTCATGAAACTCTCTTTTTTTGCAGGTATTCAGGATAAAACGGAAGTTGTGTCTTCATAATAAATAGATATTTCTTATAATAGTATTGAAGTTATAATAAAAACTAAGTAATTTTCATTAAATTCATGGACCCCTGAGAGAAGCACTAATCTTTTCTGATCTTCTCATTGTTCTGCTGTAGAAACAGCACTAATGATAAATGACTTAGCTAAGGGCATGAGCGTAGTTAACAGAGGAGCTTTGATTCCTTGATGTTCAGTTAAGTGGTCTTCCAACTATACAAATCATGATGTCATATTTTTTGAACAGCTCATGTTTCTATTCCATTTGCACATTTAATTCCTTATTAAATTTAGTCAAATAAATTTATGGTCACACACAAACCAACTGATAACATCAAATATATTATTTATCAATAATATTCTTTTAACAATCTAAAATTGATTTGATAGGTAATGTTTAAGAACAGATGACAAATAACATGAATCAGAGATAAATGAATTTTTTAAAGATTCAATTATCCCCCTTTTAATGGCATTGCTTAATTTACCAAGCCAATGACCAGAAATCCAATGACAAAAATCAGAAGCATATGTTATCTCAAGTTAGAATTTTATAGCATTCTATGTTTAATCAAATAATGCTTGCATAACTCCATTTGACTAAATTTAATAAGGAATTAAATGTGCAAACAGAACAGAAACATTAGCTGTTTAAAAAATATGACATCATGATAGTTAGAAGACCACCTCCCTGAACATCAAGGAATCAAAACTTCATCATTAACTCCCTAGTCATAAGAAAGATAATAATACCACTTTATTAATATATATATATATATATATATATATATAGGTATAGTGAAAAACTATTTAAGCTTTCTAAAAATAAAAACCTATTTTAAACTCATAAGAGAATTGTGAACATGTCTGTGAGAAGAAAATGAATGACTTATCAAGCAACTTAATTATTAAAAAGACTTATCAAGCAATTTAATTATTAAAAACATAGTCAACAGAGACATACAAATGTGTTGCCTAAACTTAATTCCAGAAATCATTATGGAACTACTTACTTTTAAATTACACTTCCCTTCTCAGGAAATACTCATTGCTTAAGATGCAAATTTCTATCTCTGTATCATGACATTGGACGTTCTGTAAAATCTGATACTGATCTACTTTTCAGATTTTCCCCCTTTATCTTTTTCTCTTTTCTTGATACTTTGCCTTATGTTCTACCACCCTAGACTACATCTACAAAGTCTGACTTTAAAAAACATTCTTTCTTGGTCCTCCTCCTTGGCCCAACTGCTCCCTTTTCTCTCCTCCCATGACATTTTGTATATATCTCTCTTTGACACTTCTTATGTTATCTCTTAATTACAAACTGCCATATCTAACTCTCCTTTCTCTCCCTCTCTCCCTCCCTTTTCCTTCCCAGACGGGGTTTCACTGAAGTGCAGTAGCATGATCATAGCTCATTGCAGCCTTGAACTCCTGGCTCAAGGGATCCTCCCATCTCCGTCTTGGAGTAGCTGGTTTCACAGGAGCATGCCACCATGTGTGGTTAATTTTTAAAATTTTACAGATGACGTTTTGTTATGTGGCCCAGGCTGGTAACGAACTCCTGTACTTAAGCAATCGTCCTGCTTTGTCCTCTCAAAGCACTGGGTAACATATCTATTTCTTCTACTAGGAAGTTTGCTGTTGATTAGCTAGATGGTTGGTCGAGGGAGGACAGATGGATGACTAGGCATGAGAGAAGACTCATTTTAAGAAGATTTTGGCAACTCTATCACCGCTTTTAGTTTTGTGCCTCAATACCTCAACCCAGGCCATTTCCCTCCAACCTTTCTTTCTCTGTTATAAAATATAGGGAATTGACTTCAATGAAATATTTCTCACATATGAATGAAAGTTTCACAACCTCAGGACCTATGACAACACTAGACTGGCCAAAATAGGAAGTATCTCCTATCCATTACCTGTAACTATGTCCCCAACCTGCTTTCTTAATTCCTATGGTATAATTATAATCATGGCACAGGAGAGAAAAAAGTGAATAAATAAAACTCTTGAGATTCAGAATATATTTGTAATAATCAAAAGCAACAGGAGAGTTAATATCAGTTAGATAAGTCTTAGTTTGATCTCCGACACATATCACCAGCTTGCCAGGTCCTTGAGGGCACTGGATTCTTAAAAGATTGAGTCTTGCTCAATGTTAGTACCATTCTCATTGTTCAGCACAGCTTCTTACAGAGTGTTCACCAGAATGAACAGAAACAATCTTATCCAACCATAATTTATCCATCACATCAAGTTACACATGTTCCCAGCATCTTACCAAGTTACTGTTCAGGGCGATCCACACACGTTCATTAAGTGGCTGCATTTGCATCCATGCAAATGCATTACTATAGATATCCAGAATGCTAGCAATAAGGGAATTGTAAAGCTTGCAATATTTCTCTGCTTCATGCCATTGTAATTTTAATTTTATGAGTGAATAGTTGCTTTTACCATATTTAATAAAGCCATCTGTTGGGACTGTTGTTGGAGGATTAGGCGAGGAAGGGTCTGGAATAAAAAGATTACTTTCATTAGCATATTCAATAAACAGTAATTGAGCACCATCGGAACATGACTACCATATCTCATCCATCACAAAAATAATCAGAATAGCATAAGCCCAAACATTCAGCTGTTAAAAATATGTTCATGAGTCATTTTCATAGCTCATGGCCAGGTTTCATCCTCTGGCTATTATTTGCTGACCAAGAAAAACAGAGCTTTATTTTTTAATCAGTATGTCTGATTAAATTAAATAATTTCCAAGCTGTATTTAGAATATGAAGGCAGATATATGATCAAGTTTCTAAACTAAAAACAAAAAGTTACAAATTCAGTACCTAGATGAAAGAAATGTCATAGTTTAATCCTACAAATGAAAGAACATCAGTCAATCATTGTGCCATTGATAATCTTTATTTTCCCATCCTGGCTAAATGTCAAGGTCAGGAACAGTCCTCCTTCACCACTCCCGTTTGTTCAACTTCATCCCTAAGTTGTGTCTATTTGACTCTACCTGTGAGTCATACACCTTCAGAAAGCTGGTTTAGGGCTCTGGAACGAAGCCATACACTAGTCCCTGGCTTGTTTAACCTTGATCTCAAGGTCAAGCTTTACTCTTGATGATTTCCTGTGTCCTTCACCTTGCCAGATCCTTGAAGGCACTGGGGCCTTGAAAGATTGGATCTTATTCATGCTCATGGTGAATCCCCCCATATCTTATGAAAACCAACCCAGGTGTTGGATCCCCTATAAGCCAGAGTCACTTCAGCTTTCTGATCATTCTTCTTCAGCTCTCAACATGGGTTTCCCACCACTACATTGTTGCCCACCTGTACTTTGGGCCACTTCAGTGTCAGGACTCCCAAAAGGCCTAGTTTCTGCATGCCTTACCTGATGAGCTAGGGCAGAAGTCAGCAAATAACAGCCAGAGGATGAAACCTGGCCATGAGTTATAAAGGCTTTTAAGTGTGGTAAGAGGTAATGGTGGTTGCAGGGGGAATCAAAGAAGAATTATATTTCAGGACATTTAAACATCAGATGAAATTTAAATTTGTGTCCACAAATAAAGTTTTATTGGAACACAGCCACATTCAACTGTTCAGGTATTGCCTATGACCTCCGACGACCACAGCAGAGTTGAGAATTTACAACAGAGAACAGATAGTCCCCAAAGCCTAAAATATTTGCCATCTCACTCTTTATCTTGGCATAGGAATCTACATATTTTTTGCTACCAGTTTTTGCCTTGGCCAATTATCCGGTGTGTTCCACTTTATACCAACTTAACCCACCATCTGCCTTGTTCTACACTACGTAAGTGTCATACTTTGATCATGCCTGCTATTCAACGATTTCATTTCATTTCCTCTTTTTTTTGCTGTTGCTGTCATCTTGTGTTGACATAATATCATCAAACCAAGAAACCCTAGCCAGGACCCTAAAAATGTTACAGCCTGTCTGGAACTGAACAACCTTACATTGTTCCAAGGTGGAAAGATCTGGACTTGCTGTAATACAGTTGGAAAACTTACAGGTCATTGAGAGTGACAAATGAGGTTTGAGGTAAAGATAAGCAAAACAAACAAACAAAGCAGCAGTTTTATGGGAAACTATATGTAACTAGAAATTCAGTTCCTCTGTCCAATTTGCTTATTTTTAAAAAACATTTATAGAAGAAATTATAAGGGGGAAAACTGAAATATTGAGCGATTAAGTTTAGGTGGTTGGATCACAGGTAGTTTTTCAATTTTTTCTCTTCTTTGTGTGTTTCTGTATTTTCTACAATTTTAACAAAAAACGTGTTAACATGCTACCTATTCTTTAAAATAGTGTTTATTTAAATGGACATGGGTAGACAGACAGACAGATAATGTGTGCATTTGTAGAGGTTTTGAAAAACACAGCAAACTACAATGAAGGGACTAAAGTTGCCTTTAATTCCATTCTCCAAAGACAACTATTATACCTATTTTGATGCACTTCCATAGTCTTTTTTACTCTTGCTTTTGAAGGGGATTAATAGTTTTTTAAAAAAATAATTTACAGTTTATAAAATTTTACATGCTACCCTTTTTCACTTTAACCCTGCAAACCTTTCCTTAAGCCATTCAAAATTTGCAAACTATTGCTATCTGGCAAATATTCTATCACTTGTGTTTATATGAAGAAGAAAAGGCAGATTCTAAATATGCTTGTGAATTGTCATTCACTTCTAGAAGGAACATCCCCCCGCTTTACCCAAAGGACAGAGGCATCGATGGTGTGCTTTGGTATTACTGGTGGTCTAGGGTACTGGTGCTGTAGGGTATAGTATGAAGAGAAAAATGGCATAACCTGGGATGCCTTTTCAATGAAGAAAAGGTTAGAATTTCTGCAGCACTTGTCCATCATCTGAAAATATCCTATATGATTTTTCAGACATTATCGTGAGTTGACACTAGTTCCCTGATGCCCCAAAAAGTATAGAAAAAGCTGATGGGTCTGGGAGAACAAGTACCTTCTGACTTATACTCAACCTCTAAGAGTTGAACTCAGGACACAGTTATCCTCTCCACCCTCAACCCTCATCTCTGACCTATTTTTAAATTTCTGTCCCTTTTGTGTAGCTAGATGTTTTTATTCTAGTTGCATTAGAAACCAAAATTTGTATAGCCATAATCTTGATTCACAGTAAATATTTATATGCTCTGTGTCACTTTCATTTAATCATATCCAGGCTTCTTAAGATGAGGAAAAAAAAAAGCCAACTCAGATCAGAAACCTGCATTTTTGAAAGCATAAAACATAGAATATATAATGAGGCATATATGATGTTTTGTGCCAATGGTTCTCAAATTATAGGAGTTGAACAAAGATATGTTTACTCTGACATTTAAAAAAGGCACGCAGGACTGGATGCGGTGGCTCACGCCTGTAATCCCAGCACTTTGGAAGGCCAAGGCAGGAGAACGGCTTGAGCCCAGGAGTTCAAGACCAGCCTAGGCAACGTAGCAAGATCTCATCTCTACAAAAAAATTTTTTTAAAAATTAGGCCAGGTACAGTGGCAGTGGCTCAAGCCTATAATCCAGCACTTTGAGAGGCCAAGGAGAAAGGATTGCCTGAGCCCACAGGTTCAAGACCAGCCTGAGACTTCATCTCTACAATAAATAAAAAAATTAGCTGGATATGATAGCATGTACCTGTAGTTCTGGCTACTTGGAAGGTTGAGGTAGAAGGATCGCCTGAGCCCAGTAGGTCAATGCTGGGGTGGCCAGCTGTGAGCGTGCATTCCGGCCTGGATAACAGAGTGAGACTCCAACTCAAAAAAAAAAAAAATTAACCTGGCACAGTGATATGTGTCTGTAGATCCAGCTACTCTGGAGTCTGAAGTGAGAGGATCACTTGAGCCCAGGAGTTTGAAGCTGTGGTGAGCTATGATCATGCCATGGCACTCCAGTAGGTGACAGAGTGAGACCTGACTCAAAAATAAATACATACATACATAATTGCACAAATTAAATAAAATAGCATAAAATAAAATAGGCACCGACAGACAAGTATCCTAGCTGTCTAACAAAATTAGGGAAAGTTTCAACTTCAAGTTTACTCTGCACAAAACTTTCCAGTAATGATGAGAGAGCAGATTCATGAATTACGTGTAGAAAATATCACCTTTTCTATCTGTCACAGGCTTTCATGGATTAAAGCAAGAATCCAACAAATATGTTGCTGTGCCAGGAAAAATTGATCATATATATATATATATATATATATATATTTTTTTTTTTTTTTTTAGAAAACAGGATTTATTGAGAGGACAGAAAAGCCCCCACAGTGGGAGGGGACCTGAAGGGGTTGCCTGATCATATTTTTTAAAGTGTATTTAAGACCCCAGTTCTTGTAGAAAGGCAAGGTCTGGTGGAACTTACCAGAAGGCATCTGGCATATGTAGCCTCGCTTGCTGTCACAGATGTCGTCCATCCATTTTCCTGCTTCATTTGATTTGCCTCCAATAATAACAACACAATCAGCCTGGATATTTATGGAGAAAAAATAAGAAAACAAGTCGAGTCAATGATTATTTAAATCAATTTGTGAACACACCCAAAACTCATTATTTTAATTTCCCAATTTTAGGATCATCCTAACTTACAGTATGTTCAGTCATCATGACTTTCTCCCCATCCCTCCCCACATTCCATGCCGGTCCCCTACATTTGAAATCTTGCTATCTGAATTGAAAACCAGACAGAATTAGATAAATGATGGAGATAGGCCTGAGAAACTCTGCTATCAGAAATTTTATGAATTGCTATCAGAACTTAGAAGCCAAAGGATCTACAAGAATATGGTAACCTCTTTATATAAATTCTCACAGTCCAAACCCAGAAGTAGGTGTCCTATTCTGAAAGGGAAATGAACACAACCTATATTTCTCTTTTTTTTTTGAGTTGGAGTCTCACTCTGTCGCCCAGACTGGAGTGCAGTGGCCGCTCCCGGCCACCGCAACCTCCACCTACTGGGCTCCGGCGATCCTTCCGCCTCAGCCTTCCCAGTAGCCAGAATTACAGGCATGCACTACCACGCCCGGCTGATTTTTTGATTTATTGTAGAGATGAGGTCTCGCTGCCCAGGCGGGTCTCGAACCCGCGGGCTCAGGCAATCCACTCACCTCAGCCTCCCAAAGGCGCAGGATTACAGGCTGAGCCACCGAGCCCGGCCCTATATTTCTCACTGCCAATTTAACTTATAAAATTTTTACTACAGATTTAGAACACATTGTTAGTATAGCTAGGAAGTTTCACGTCTTACAGTCTTACAGGGGAGTATGCCAGGGCTGGAAAAATACTGTATTTGTTTGGTTGTGAATGTGTTTGCAATTCCAATTGTCTATAGGAGAGTTTACCAGCCAAAAGTGAACCCAGAAAGTCATGAAACCTGCACTTGTCAGAGTGTTCAGCCAGTGTCAGATGAAGATTTTGACTATAGCATGTGTTGGGCTTTTTACACCCATCAGTTATAATAATTACAGTGTACATTCAAAATGTCTGACACTGTTCTATATATTCCTCATGTATTACCTTCATTTAAACTCACCCATCCTAGGAGGTAGGTGCTATGATCATGCCCATTTCATAGAAGAGAAAACTGAAGCATAGGGAAGTGAGACAACTCGTCCAAGGTCACAGAGGCAATTAATGAAAGAGCTGGGATTCAAAATCCAGTCATTCTGACTCTAAGCCTACATCCTACCCGTCAAGCTCTATAGCACTGCTTCTCAGTGAGTGAGGAATGCAAGGTGTTGCTGATTAAGAGTAACAAAGGAAGGGAAGATTGAGCATTGTCTTGAATGGAGGGAAGGCCTGGAACTTCTTTACCAGCCATAACAAAGAGTTAGGCCAACAAGCTAAGGGTGCAGAGCAGAAAGATGGAAAGAACCTCCATCCTAGATAATATGGTGAAATCATTTTCCACCAACTTTAAGACAAACATTTCTCACACATTCACATTTCTAAAATAAGAGACGTCAGAATTTAATTGGCAGCTATTCTTTCTCAGTGGCACACACAATCATGGTGAATTTTTCAATCCATGGTGTCTTAGATGCAAGCAAATGTTGTAATGAGTCTTTAAGATGCTGGACTTTTTGTCATGGAGATAACGCATTTTCCTTACTGTTTTAAGTGGCTGAGCTGTGTTTTTCATTTACTAGGGCTTCAAATGTCAGTCTAGGTTCACACTTGCCCTTCCACAGACCTGAGCCGCTGCTGCCGCCGCCAAACCACATGGAAGTGGTTAGGGGAATGGATACAGCAGTTAGCTCCTGGGAATTTCCTGCAGGTACAAGGCCATGGACTACCTCATCAGTTACACTTGGCCCAAGTGTCAGGAAGTTGGTTTTTGACCATTTAAGTTTCACCTCAATCTTCCTTCCATTTTCCCTTCCCTTCGAAACTTAAGTATATGAAAAATGAATGCTTGAAATATATTTACTGTCTGTCTCTCGCTGTGTGTGTCTCTGTCTCTCTCTCTCGCTTTCTTTTTCACGCACGCACGCACACATCTTCTCATACTCCATCAGGCATTCATTCATTCTCTTTGGTACATTAACTCTTTTTTCCAAGAACGCTGATCCATTCTTGCTTTGTCTCCCTCATGTGCATTTAACCTAAAATGTTACCCTTCCTTTTTCAATGGGTAAAAGCCAGTGCTGCATGTGTGAAGGACTTCCTCTACGCTTTGTTTTCATAGGTGAAATTATTACTCTAGCAGAAGTCATCAAACTATGGTCTTAGGCCTAATGCAATCTACCACCTGTTTCTGTAAAAAAAAAAAAAAGGTTTAGTTGAAACGCAGCCACGCTCATTTGTTGACAAATTGTCTATGTCTGCTTTCATGTTACAATAGCTGAGTAGTTGCAACAGAGATCTTGTGGTTCTCAACAACTAGGTTTTTCCTTTACAGAAAATGTCAGCCAACCCCTGCAATTCACCACTATCCAAACATTTTGCTTTTCACTGCTTCCTCTTTACAACTCAATCTTTTCCCCAGATCCTTCTTTCCTTTAAGTACTATCTCAATCAATCTCAGTAGTGATTTCCTCAAAGGTCATTCCTTCTTCTCTAACCCTACTGTCCTGTTGGAGTGGAGGAACACATGTTCCATGCCCCTTTCAAGATAGTCTGTCATCTGATTTGCAATGCAGTAGTTTGCTCATTTAAAGTAAGAGGATGGGGCTGAGGAGAGACTGCTGTAGACAACCAGAAATAAAGACAGGAGATGTGGTCAAATCGTTTTGCTTTTTGCTGAAGCCCCAAAATTTCACTGTGTTTGCTTTTGTAGTTATCTTCTATTTGTGGTGAACATGCCAATTTCCCACTTTCTCCTAACATGAAGTTTCCTTTTAAAAGAAATGTAAACACAAAGGGAGTCAATTTTTTTTAAATGTTGAGGATTTTTCAGTTTCCAGTCTGACATGTAAGAAATTTGAAAGTTGTCACTTCTATCCACAACACAAGAAAAGAGTTGAAGAAAACTGAAAATCGATTACTCTTTTTAAATGCATCAGAAAATGGAAGTCACAAAACAAACAGCCATCTCCAAACTGGAGAATCAGACGGGGGGGGGGTAAGGGTGGTGTAGGGACATACAACTGCCCAAAGCAGAAGCCTAGGAGCAGAAAATTCCATGGGAACCAGTACTGAGGTAGGAAAAACTAAATTGTGAAGTTACAATTTGCTGGAGGCTTGGTGTGAACGAATTTGAGTATCAAAAACTCTGAAGGGAGAGGCAGTCTTTGGGAATCTCCACATTTTTGTGAGTTTAATCTACCGGGTTCTCACAGTGAAGACTAGAGAAAAATCACCTCTTGCTTCCAACAGGAGACACGGAAAAAGAACCATTTCGAAATATACCAGAGCATTTTGTCCATTATAAGACCTGTCTTCAAGAGCAACTATTTTATCAACTTCTACCCAACTAGGATTTTAACAACCTAGGAGAAGAGAAATGCCCAACTCCAGCCCACTCTAGCCTTAGTCTCATCTAAGAGAGAAAATAAATAAAACGAAACTGAGAAACACATGTGAAGGTCACAGCCCCAACTCCCTAAAAGACTGAGCCCTAATCCTAGTATTATAGAGCGTTTCCCCTCCCCGACACCTTACCACCATAACAGTAGGGTTTCTGTAAAATAACGGGGAATAAAACTGAAGAATTGTCCCTCTACAAACTATTTTAAAAGACTTTAGAGAAACCCAAACACAACAGGAGAGACAAAAACAAGGACACTAAAGGAAATTTTAGCCTCTGACATCTACAGTGATAGTAAACAGTAGACACGAGCTAACCCTTAGCCAGAAAAACATAAACCTCACACTAAAAGTCTCTTTATCCTCAAGTTCCCTTTATCCAATATATCATGTCCAACTTGAAGCATAAAAATACAAAACATACTAAAAGGTCAAAAACACAATTTTAAAAGAAGAGCAAGCAGAATAACCAGACTCAGATATGGCAGAGATGGTGGAATTAACAGATTGAAAATGTAAAAAACTATCAATAATATGCTAAGGACCCTAATGTAAAAAACGGACCAACTCTCAAGAACAGGTAGGTAATGTAAGCAGAGAGACAAAAATGCTAAGAAGAGATTAAAAGGCTAGAAATTAATAACACTGTATCAGAAATGAAGAATATCTTTGATGGATTCATCATTAAACTGTGGACCTGGGCAAGGAAACAAGTGAGAATGGAACAGAAGAAATATTTGAAGCAATAACAACTTAGAATTTTCTAAAATTAATGAAGGACACTAAACCAGAGATCCAGAAAACTCAGAGACCATCAAATAAGATAAATACTAAAAAACTACATCTAAGTATATCATACTCAAACTGCAGGAAATCAAAGATGACAATATCTTGAGAGAAGTCAGAGGAAAAAAACAAGAATAGTAAGAAGCAAGAATAGTAGTTACATTGCAATTCTTTTCAGAAGCCATGCAAAGCAAGAAGATAGGAGAGTGAAATATTTAAAGTGTTGAAAGAAAAAAACCCACCAACCTAGAATTCTGTATCCAGTGAAATTACCCTTCAAAACTGAACTGGAAACAGAGACTTTCTCAGACAAACAAGATGAACAACACAAACTGAGAGAATGTGTTACCAGGACACCTGGCTTGAAAGACATGTTAAAAGAAAAAAAGAAGAAATAAACAAACAAAAAATACGTCTTAAATTTTTATTATCCTTAATTGATCTAAAAGATCAAGATTGTTCAAAATAAGAATAGCAACAAGGTATTTGGTGATAATAATTTATGGATAGGTGAAATGAATGACAGCAATGTTATTAGGGACAGATGTTACTAGAGAATATTATCAGGAAAAACTTAGGAATGCTTTCTTATAAGGTTCTTGAACTAGCTGGGAAGTGTTATAGTGTTATTTGAAAAATGTAAATGTATACTGCAAACTCAAGAGAAACTACTAAAGCAAGTTTTTTGAAAAGTATAATTTGTATGCTGAGAAGAGAAAAAAATAAAATTATGAAAAATAATCATGTAAAACCAGAGGAGGCAAGAAAAAAAGTAAAACAAAAAACAAAAACCAGAAAATAATAACAAACATGATCTATATTAATCCAACTATTTCATAATAATTTTAAATGCTAATGGTCTAACTACACCAACTAAAAGACAAAGATTCATATATTAGTACAAGAAACTCACTTTAAATATAAAGACATACAGATTAAAAGTAAAGAGATAAAGATATACCATGCTAACACTAATCAAAAGAAAGTTGAACTAACTATATTAATTTCAGACAGAGAAGACTGCAAAGCAAGTAAAGTTATCCGTGATAAAGAGGGGAATAACATAAGGATACAGGGGACAGTTCTCCAAGAAGACATAACAATCCACAATGTGTATGGGCCTAACAACAGAGCAACAAAATATATAAGGTAAAAACTAACAACTGTAAAGAGAAATAAATGAATCTACAATTAGGATTGGAGACTTCAACACCCCTCTATTGAAAATGGACAGATACAGCAGGCAGAAAAATCAGTAAGAACAGTTTGCTGAACACATCATCAATTAACTGAATGTCACCGTCAGCTATAAACTACTTCATATGACAGCAGCATATTATACATTCTTCTCAAGCTCACTTGATACACTCGCCAAGACAGACTACATTCTGAGCCACAGAACACGCTTTAACAAATTTAAAAGATGAATTGTACCCCACATCCTTAAAATAAACATTTTTTAAAAGCTCAAAGTGAAAAAAATTAAAAGAATAGAAACCACACAAACTAATCTCTAAAACCATAATATACTTAAACTAGAAATCAGTAACTGCTGGAAAATCCCAAAATACTTAAAAATTAAAGAAAATTTTAAGTCATGAAGACATTGATAGTCATACACAAATACAGCTGAAAGTAAGGTAACTGCCGTTTGTCTGAATAAATAAAGTGACTGAAAGAAGTGTCACTGTGAAGTGACCACAGCTTTGACCTACCCCTAGTCACAGCTAATCCCAATCTATACTCCTGCTCCAGTCATCTTGTCAACCTCCTTGTTCCCTGGAGCCTCAACTATCAAACACCCTCAACCCTACATTTCAAAGGTTCTCTACTCATCCTCATTTCCCTACTTTTTTTTAGCTACTTTTATCCTCCGTCTTGCTTCCAATTCTCTGCTCTACTCCAGAAAACCTTTTTGTGTGTGTGTGCTGGAGTCTCACTCTGTCACTCAGACTGGAGTGCAGTGGCTGCTCCCAGCCCCTGTAGCCTCGACCTGCTGGACTCTGGCGATCCTTCCGCCAGCCTTCCAAGTAGCTGGAACTACAGGCACACGCTACCACGCCCTGCTAATTTTTGACTTAAGACAGAGATGAGGTATTGCCAAGTTGCCCAGGTGGGTCTCGAACCCATGGGCTCAGGCAATCCACTCACTTCGGCCTCCCAAAGCACTGGGATTACAGGCTGAGCCACCGAGTCCAACTAGAAAACCTTTTAGAAAACAAGCATCATTCTACCACAAAACGCATATAAAAAGTTCTGTCTCATTCTCTTTAGCTGTATCCAATCTTCTTTATTTTTCAAGTCCTGAACTTGTAACAAAATACTATGTGTGTTTTGATTCCATTTTTGTGAAATATAAACTTTAGATGTTTAGACATACTGCAAAAAATCTGGGAGTAACTTCAACAAAAAATGAAGTGTTTTTGTTTGTTGGTTTGTTTTATTGTTTCTGCTTTTCTTTTTTCTTTTTCTTTTTCTTTTTTGAGTTGGAGTCTCTGTCACCCAGGCTGGAGTACAGTGACACTCTCATGGCCACTGCAGCCTTGACCTACTGGGTTCAGGTGATCCTCCCACCTCAGCCTTCCAAGTAGCTGGAATTACAGGCGCATGCTACTACGCCCAACTTTTGACTTATTGTAGAGACAAGGTCTCACCAAGTTGCCCAGGCTGGTCTCGAACCCCCGGGCTCAGACAATCCACTCGCCTTGGTCTCCCAAAGTGCTAGGATTACAGGCTGAACCATTGTGCCCAGCTTCTGCTAATCTTTATGTTCTAAAAAAATGTGAAATAATGAAATTTTTCTTTACATAAAATTCACCTCTCATCCATTAAATCTTTCTAAGGAAACTCGACCTTGTTCCATTAACTTTTAACTTCAAGTTTCCAGCCCTCATGGATATAATGGGAATCAGAGAATTTCTCCGCAGAAAATTACTTACCCATCACCAAAATGTATTCACCGGACAAACAGCTACCAACTTAATGGTTGTAAATAAGTCATTTTTATCAGATCATTTTTCTACTCAATCATTTTTTTGTGGCTTATCTGACAAAGTCCAAACTTCCTCATAGAGCATTTAAACGTGTCTAAATTCTGCTTTTCCACCTTTCAAAACTGTTCCCACTTCTTTTCAGCACAACTCTGCTACACCTAAAGCCATTTACTCTTGCTCAAACACACTGTGCCTTTTACTAGAAAACTCCTTCTACCTTGCCCACTCAGTATGACCTTCCTCATCCTCTTGCCGAGTTACCCTGATCATTAGTTTTTAACCTTCTTTAAAAAAAAAAAAAGGCCCATAGTTCATTCTTTTTCACATCACCTCCCTCCACCATGTCATGCAAAGACAATGTCTAGCATAGAGATCCACAGATACGTGCCAACTGATTGAACTACCGTGTTTCAACTGATTGAA